CAAGGACCTGGCTTCTGCCACTCCACTGCCACTCCTCCAGGAGTTCCCATCCTCTTGCATCTCCACCACCCAGTGCATCCACTGCAAAGGAGATTTTAGAACCAGATTTCAAACAGATATTTGTGAGGACTGTTTTTCCTTTTTTTTTTTTAATTTTTTTTTTTTCCAATCTTTTTATTACTTATTGCATTGATTGTTGTAGTGCTAATTGTAGTTTAGGGATAGTAACATTTTATTTACTAAGAAGAGGATTGGTTTTCCTATAGTGTGCAAAATACCAAGAATTTTTTAATGGTAGCTTGCTCTTTATTAGGGCAGTGGGTCAACAGGGATTCCTTGAAATATTCAGTTACTCTGTTTCTTGTTTTTCCTTTCCACTTTAAAGTGTGTCATTTTAGACTGGCTGGTTAAGTCAGCTTTCCATTCTGGTGAAGCAAGTAGAAGCATGGAGAGAAGAAGATTAATATGTATCTGGAGCAAATGGCAGAAGGGAGGAAAGGAGAGAAGAATCAATTCAAGTCAAACAATTGCAGACAGTGAGTGAAAAATTAATGTGTCTAGGGAAACTGGAGGAAAAAAAACAAGAGCAACAGTGCAGGTCTGCTATAGATACAATATATTTCTGTTCAGACAGTCAGGGAATTGTACCAAGTTTTGAGTACTAGTCCTTAAACAGGAATATTGCAGCAACACATTGCAGTAAACTTAAGTTGTAGAATAACTCTGTATTTGTTCCAGTGCCATGGTGTTGTTTCCAGCGAGTTTCCAATATTATACATTGTCTGCCACTGTAAGGTCAAGCAAGTCGCCAACGAAACCACAGGCGAATTTCTGCGAAGGCAGACTCATTGGTGCCTGCCAGTGTGCTTTTGGGTACATAATGTTCAGCTCACAGCATATTTTCATTCATGAGATTACTTTTTTGTTGTTAAAGTAGCTTTTATTTCTTTCGACTTTCTATCACCGTTTATTCATTCACTCAATCATTAAAGGCCTTCTCTTACTTGATTTGGAACGCGTCAAAGGAAGACCAAATGAAACCATTTTCTAGCTAATCTTTTCCTTGCATATTCTTGTTACATTATGACTAATAGTGTGCTGTCCTCACTTACGTAACATTCATATGGGAAATGTTATGATTAACATCTCTGTAAAGTGAATCCTGAAAGTGAAGGAGTATATGAAAGACAGTATGGCTTAGAACAGGAAGCTGTGTCAAAAGCACGGCTATCACGTTGTGATCTCAAGGGCTTTATAGCTGGGAAACACTACATAAAGGGCCGTGTAAAAGCCTCAGGATGTGTAGCTTTAATAGTCATCAATATTAATGGGGAGAATATAAGATCAGCTGCTATTCTGTAACAGTAAACCTCTTTCTGGCTTGGTCCGGCAGTTTTTCAAAGCCCGAGAAGCTGCCCAGCAGATAACAGGCACACACAACCCGTGTTATCTGACAGCACATGCTTGGGGTTTAGCAGCTGTGGGGGCTAAGCTTGACATTTCCTACTTGGGTTTCACTGAGTTGTGATGTATAAGTAGTTTTTAAATTTCAGCAACGTAAAAAAAAGAGAAATTATGTTAGCAGAAGAAATAATGTGAAGAAAAAGCATCTGAGTGGCAGCGTGAGCCACCTCCAGCATTACAGACCATCCACAGGCTGTGTTTGGTGGCCATCTGTGCTGGGCCTTGGCACCCACACCCCAATATCCCCTTGCTGGCAACCACTCAGCATCCTTTCCATGCTGTGTTTTCCCACTGCACTGCTCATCAGTTCACACAGGATTCACTTCAGAGTTTGAATGCTTTTTAGGCCTCAGCTTCTCACAGCACAGCTCTGTAGGATGGAGCTGTGGCCACCCCAGGCAGGGACAAGCTGAAGGGCTGCACAGCACGGCGTTGGGTTTCAGGTTGGGTGCTCCTGAGCATAGCGCTTTGAAAACTTGCATGGATGACTGCTTACTGATGCCATAAATGTTGTGTTTCTAAATAAATGCGAGCACTGGTTTTGTTTTTGGAAAACTGGTGAATAAGGATTGATCAAGTTTCTTGGTAGACCCTTGTGCCTGAAGTGTAGTGATGTATGTCCTGGAGTTATCGTAGAGATTTCAGGAATGCTGTTTTAGTATATTTCAGTAAATATGAAGAAAAAAAATGAAAATTCACCATGAAAGAATATCCTTCAAATTCAGTTCTCATTCACATTAGAGAGTAATGAGAATTCTGAATAATTTGGGTAATTGGGTCATCAATGATAGTATGTTGACTGAATGTAGGACAAAGGATTATGTTTAAAGTTGAACTGCTCTTTTTTTTTAACTGCTTTTTTAAGCATCATAATGAAAAGTAATAGTAAACATGATTCGATAGAACTGTAGTGTAAGCTTTCTTTTCTTTTAAATAGTTTTCCTACTGGAGTAGGTATCTAGACAAGTGGCCTATCAGTTCTTCTTACATCATAGAGTTAATACAGAGCCGTCAGCAACTTCCAGCTTAGACCTTTGTCTTATGGCTCTGTATTGCCATGGCATTTCCTGAGCACACCACAATGAGATGAATATCTCGTTTTTGCTTGTGTCTTGTCTTTTCCTCCTTGTGTGTTCAAGTCTGCACATTATTTGCTTTTGCCAAATATATCATTCTGTTTTCAGAAAGCCTTGAAGATTAGATTCCTCCCTGAGTTGGAGAGTTAATTCACAAAATATCCTACTACCTTTTTCAAAGGGACAGATCTGTGCTTGATTGTTATATAGAGTTCGTGTTTTTTCAGTTTTTAGAGGATTTTGTTATGCAAGATATTTTGCAATTCCTGGATCAAGGGGAGTTGGGTTCTGTTTATGCCTTGGATTGTCAAGAAGTGGTTTCTGTAGCATCTGCAAAGCGCATGTGATGTGTGTGTGTTTTTTTTGGCACATTCGTTGCAGTGAGGGATGTTTCTGTCTTGGGTGTTATATACAGTTTCTTGCAGAAGAAGCACATTACAGAGCATTTAAATCTAGCTGAATTCCTCATTAAAGCTTTAAGGAAGGTGTCTTCTTATAATCTTGTCTAACCTGATACTCACAGTTAATAAATGGAAACAGAGATATTTATCGAGTGGTTTTCACAGCTTTTCATCGTAGTGTTAAAATGGGAGTACAAGAACATCAGTCATGATTCTGAAAAGTTCTAAGCACAGGCTTGAAGTTGAACCCTCGGCTATAAAGTTTATTACTTCAGAAGTTTGGGCTTGCCCTCCCTCTGGGATGATGGGAAAGATGTATTTTTTAATTTAGTGGTGAGCATTACAGTTCTAGCGATATTTGTCCAGGTCCCCTGTGCCTTGTATTGTGCCCTTTGTGCACGCTCTGGGAAGTCCCATATGCTGTTTGCAAAGAGATGCCCAGCAGGGCACTTGTGAGGAGGCAGCTGTCTGGTGGCTGTTATGGGAGCAGTGCTGGGGAGGAGAGGTCAGTGCTGAGCTGAACTCGCCTGGACAGCACGCATTTACCTCTGCTGAGTGATCACAGCACGTGGTGATGCAGTGTGAGGAAGAACGCGGCAATGGTGGGCATCCCACATACAAACCAGGTGCAGAGTGCTGCAGCTCGCAGCGTGGCACAGAGCAGAGGTGCAGCCGTGGGGCTGGCTTGGGGCAATGCCCTCAGAGCAGCTCCTGCCCAGCTCCGTGCTGGCGCTGGTGTGGGAGCCTGAGGAGCAGCTGCTGCGGCACAGCTTTCCATTTGAATTTGCCTTTGTTTTGTGAGTCACTGCTCGCAGTTCCTGCTGCTTTTACTTTCCTCCAGGAATGTGTTTGCACGATTTTAGCTGTGCCTGAATTACTGTAATTGTGTAATCTTGTAGCAAGTCATCATGCAAATATTGAACTGATGGAAACGTGTTCCTTCAGCTGGCTGTTGTGTCTTTTTGCTCTGTGTTTTGTTATCGGACAGTTTTACTGAGCATATACTCCATTCAAGCATATACTCCATCTCCAATTTCTGCAGATAGCTTTATGGGCAGGATCTGAACACACATTAAAACATCACAGGGTTACTCTAGGAAAACACATGCCAAAACATAAATGTCAACCAGTTAACTCAGATAGAGGGCCAGCTTTGTGTGCAATGAGTAATTGAGCAACTGCCCAGTCACAGCAGGCTTCTTAAAGCAGGTGCCCTCTGCGAGTTTTGAACCACAAATTGTAACTTGTTTTTTTAAACTATGGTCACCTTTCACATTTTCAGCAAATGTAGGAAAGATTATGGTGTCGAATCAGCAAGACACCTGATTCTTCAGTACCTGCATTCAATAAATCTTCATATAGACTTTGGAATAGGTTACAGATGAAGCATTTGATTGGAAAAAAGCTTGAGCAAGCACGTGCAATCCTTAACTTTTACATAGAGTTACTGTACTCATTTCTGACAGGTCCAGAAAATGATTGTCACAGGCAGGATGCACTGGAAATATGGAAGCAATCCATATGTCATCAGCATCCTGCTCGTTCTTTCTGTAAATACTTTGCAAGCATTGTCACAGGCTCTGCTGTGCCCTGCTGCTGACATGGGCTGCAAAGCCGAATTCCATTTGAGCTGAAGTGCAAACACTTATCTGTTGACACAATTTTCAACCCACAGTGAAATGCTGGAGCAAATTACACATATTCTGGTTGACAGGGAGCATGCAAGATTTTAAATGGTGATGCTACCTCCCCCCTTACAGATCTATCTGTCACCCTTATATTTATCACCAGTTGTGAAAGCTACTAAGGAATCTGAAAACTGGGGCCAGTATTGCCAAATATTTGAAATAGGATTAGACTCTGAACCACCCTAAGAGACGGAAAGACAAAGCAGCATCCTTACTCCCATGCAGTTGCAGAATTGTACATTGTTTGCTGATGGAATCGGGTGCAGAGATTGAAAAGTACTGAAGCCCTTGCAGAAGCCCAGGTTTTCCTGGTGCCTTTTGCAGCTTGAGTGGCGTGTTGCCTTCCCTGATGTCTCCTTCTGCCTTTCCAGGAGAGTACTGCGAGGTGAACGCCCGCTCCGGCCGCTGTGCCCCAGGCGTGTGTAAGAATGGAGGGACCTGCGTCAATCTGCTGATTGGGGGATTCAAGTGCGAGTGCCCACCAGGAGAATATGAGCGGCCCTACTGTGAGATGACCACCAGGAGCTTCCCCCCACAGTCCTTCATCACCTTCAAGGGGCTGCGGCAGCGCTTCCACTTCACCGTCTCCCTCATGTAAGTCCATGTTCTGTCCCCATCCCAATGGCTCCTAGCACAAGGTCTGGCTTCTCCCCTCAAGGTTGAGGTGTGTTTATTAAATATCGTAACTAGCTGAATTATCTATATGTAGAGGTCTCTGGGGGGGATTTCTGGCTCTGACTCTTTCAAGTGGGGCAAAATCACATTGTTTGAAAGCGTTTAATTTCTGTCCTGTGCTGTTGAGGTTCTAACCATTTCTCTTTTACTACAGACTTTTACTAAAAATTTCTTTGCTAGGAACTTTGTGTTTTTGACAAGCAGTTTATTTACCTCCTCTGCTTTGGAGATTAGTATTTGGATATACATAGTTCTTTCTTGGTGAAGTGCTTCACACAGCTGAGAGGGCTCATCCCAGCCCTCACAGGCTTTTAGGGGACCACCAGAACAGCAGCATCTGGAGAGAGGACAGCAACTGATGTCACTGCTCAGGGGGATCACAGAGTAATATGCCAAGCCAAGGGTCTGCTTGCTAACCTTCCTTTGCTCTAGAGCTCTTATAGGCTGAGTTTTGCTCTGTGGGGAGATGGTGTGGGGAGAAAGGCCTTTCCAGGCAATGGGGTGGTGCCGAACCACAAACTCCATCCGCATCTCAGCAGCCCTTGGCCAGAGAGGCATGAGAGTGGATGGTGGGTCAGTCAGTCATAGCTGAACAAAGGCTGGTGCTCCTCGGGTTCTGGTTTCCAGACTCATGTCTGGAGCAGCCCTGATTGTCACAGCTTCTCACCTTGCTCCTCCTTCATGAAGCTGCCTTCAAGAGCAGCTCTGCTTCTCGTCCCATCCTGGCTGCCACATCCCTGTCCCATTTGCCGTGACAAATCCATGTTGGACAGACTTCACCTGGGCTGTCTGTCACTTCTTCCGTGGGGACAATTGAGGAGCTCTGGGGTGAGGAGAGCAATGGTGACAGCCACTGATATACAGTAGGGCTCTTCTCCACTGATTCAAGACTGCCTAGGTTAAAAAAAAGAACACTTCTAGAGAAGACTTTCTTGCTCAAGCCATGTCTTTGTCTGCCATGGAGTGAGAACCTCAGATGGAAATTCATGTTTCCTCTGGAGAGGGTGCAAGTTTTGCAGCTCTCCCACGGTCAGGGTTGACCTTTGGTTGTCCCTCATGGTTGACTTTGAGTAAATAGTGCAAAATGTGTCAGCTCAGACCTTGGTGGGCAAGGTCAGAAGTTTGTTGGTCTGTAAAGCAACAGATGCAACAACAGAAGCATTTTGTGTGTCTGTCTAGAGAAAATGCTCAGGACTGAGAAGTCACGTCATCAGGCACGTGTCCCATGTCGTGCTTGGCAGATGCTTGCTGTTTTACTTCTGACTGGGGATAGGCAGGTTCAGAATTTTATGGAATCTTGGAAATTACAGTTAAATCTGGATGTGTGGATGCAGTTTGCATGCAAGCCACGGCAGGGAAGAGTTGTGCCTGAGAAGGTTGGTTTAGAGCATCAGACCTAAATACACAGAAAAGCTGAGAAGCAAAAGTCTCAGTTGGCCTTGTCAGATCCACACTAAGAGCAAACAAAGGAGCGGCCTAGGCTGGCTGCCAGCATAAATTACCTGCAGTACCCTTGGAGTGTCCCCACAGCCACATGGTGTCATTTTTCAGGCTTTCAGGAGGAGATCTTTGATGTGTAGGGTCCTTCACATTAAGATGACTCAAATTCTCTGCATGGGTGTTATTAAAAAATAATAACTTGCCTTCATATGGCAGTGCTTGCCCCATGATTTCTTTGGCATCTTTCAGTTGAGATGGCATACTTAGTCCTGAACTAAACATTGTACAGTCCACTCAGTGTGACTGTAAAAAGTGTAGGTCATCCTGGGCTTCATTCCATGCTGTCCAGGACAGTGATATTTTCAGCTTTTTGTAACTGAAGTTTTTTTGGGTTTTTTTTGCGCTTGCTGGTTTTTTGGCTTTTATTATCCTTCAGTACAGGTGGAAAACGTTATGTGAGGAGAAGCAAGAATTAGTGGTTGGATTAGACAGCGGATTTGCCTTGGCGTATTTCATGATGTGGGAGCATTCTTAACATCACTGGGTGTCCGGCTTCCTTCAGGCTTCAGTGACTCATGACCTGCTCCTGACAAAGAGCAGGGTGCTTGTGTACTCTACATCCATAAGTAAAATGGGATTTTTTGAGGGGGAAAAAAAGAAAAATGTCGTATGTTTGTTATGAGCTTAGCAGATGAGCGAACACCTCCAATGCAAAACCGATTTAGGACATGTGGATTTCATATGGTGTGTACTGCTGCTAACAGAATAGGTGCCACAGTGTTCCTAATGAAAAGGGTAAAAGTGGGAAAATTTGGGCGCAAGTTAACCCTAAATATGTTTCCTTTGTGCAGTTATTCAGGGTACTGACCAAGCGTGTCTTTCTGCCCCCAACTCTATACATCTTTGCCTCTTCCCAAAGGCTGCTACTCCGCCTTCTTCTCTCCCAGAGATACCATCAGTGAAGATATTTTCTCACCGTGTGTTCAGAATTCTCTAAGAAAGTTGTCTTTTGTTTCCTGTGCCCTGAGTTCAAAAAGATCTCTTCCATTAAAGCGTAATGTTTTTATTCCCCTGTGACATTTTGGCAAGTTCAGAAGCAGCAGTGCTGAGCTAAGGATATGATGCGGCACGTGCTTTGGGATAGTGCAAAAGAGTGGAACTGAGCACACACTGAGTTAACAGGCATAAAAAATAGAAAGATACTTTGCTTTTTTTTAATTAAAATGATGGTAAAGTATTGTAGCTATATCCAAAAAAATATTTTCAAGCAAAACTAAGTTTCCTGTTGTTGCTGGTTAAACAGATTCTGTCAGCTCACTCAGACGCTTCTCGTTTCCTTTGCCCTTATATCTAACCTGGTTAGATTTGATCGAAAAAGTTTTGATGAAGCAGACATCCACCAAAAAATGAGATGCTACAAAATGTTTTACAGGGGCTTTATTGCTTTGGATGAAATGCTTGAGTGGAAAAAGTAAAAGCTAAATTAATGTTTGATAATATTGAAATATTTCAATGGTATTGTCTTAATTCATTTAGTCCAACTTTTACTTCCTTTACTATTGTTTTGTACTATGTCAAAGAATGTAGCACTATTTAGAAATCAAATGGTAGTACAATATTTTGATTGATTATAATGGATACTCTTTAGAATTTGTGTTTTGTTGGAAATTTCAAAAGTTTGACTTCTGTGCTTTGAATCAGAACAATTCATTCTCTTCCTCTAAATATAGTGTTTTCTATTTTAATGGAACAAAGATGTACATTCTCGTATAGCTCAGATTCAGGCCTCTGCTTATGACAGTCAACTTTGGTTAAAGACATTCTTTGGATTTGAATAATTTTACTTCAAGTATCATTTGGAAGCCATTTGGAAGCACAAGAAATTCCCATGGTTGCCTCTCTGTAGGGAATATTAATCTTTGTGAAAATGAAGCTTAATAAATGTTTGCATTTGTAAATAGATGAGAGCTGTGTGCAAATCCCCAAAGCTAAAAGGGTTCGATTTAAAATCATAAAACACACAGAAATTTTCAGAAAACATTCTGTGCTGGTGAAAAAGCAGCTTTTCTAAAAGAGGACTTGGCTGTTTTGCGGCAGGAAAGGTGTGATATATCCCATATTGGAAACAAGAAAAATAAACATGCACGCATTGGAACTGATTTAGTGGAATTGTTGAAGTGTTTATTTTCCTTCCTCCGATTGGCTTTACTGTTGATTGATGAGCCTTGATGATCCGTGTGGCATTATTCAGATGCCTCTTATCTTTCTTTGGCCCTTGCTTCCCCAGCAGTTCTTTTTGATCAGTTTATGACGCCCCTTGTAGCATGCAGCACAAGGACAGTGAGCAGGCAGCAGTCCCCCCCTTTGATGTCAAACTGCTTTCTGCCTTTCCAGCTCTGCAAAGTGCAGGAACTGCTACTGTGGATAGCATCAGATACTCACTCTGAATTGCGTGCCTGCATCATTTCGCCTTTTGTTATGATCACCATCCACAGCAGGTCTCTGTAATTTCCATCGCAGTCTCCTCTGTCAATGTGAAAAAACCAAAAACTTAAATAAGCTGCTGCTTATTTAATTTTACAATTTTCTGTCTGAAGAACGAGCCGAAGGCTTGCATTTCTGGCTGTGACCTGACCACTTGTTTCCTCATTCCAGGTTCGCAACCAGGGAGAGGAACGCTCTCCTCCTCTACAATGGGCGGTTCAACGAGAAGCACGACTTCATTGCCTTGGAGATCATTGAGGAGCAGATCCAGCTCACGTTCTCTGCAGGTGGGGTGGCACTGCAGGAGAGTGTCTCTGCTTACGGTTCTGAGATCTTCTCAGCCTGGCTGAATTTGCTGCCTTGTATTTGTATTTGCTGCCTTGTTAATAGAGTAACTGGCTGATGCTGTGCAGTTAACGATTGACAGAGGGTGTTGCAGAGTGCTCCAGATTGTAGCACTTTGTGGTGGTAACACTCGCTATCGTAGACAGGAGCTTGTCAACATATCAGTTATAAAATCCAGAGTTTATGAGTACTATAAAAGATTAACACTAGTCTGACAGCCAGTGCTTGCTTAAATGAGACTTCATTTTATTATGCTGGGATAAATGTTGTGTATTTATGTATTTTTATACTATGTCAGCAGTGAAACTGTATTCTAAAAAATACCTGTGAGCCAAAGCAGACAAATGAAGAATGCTTGCCATTCTTTATTGCCTGTGCCAAGCCGTACATCGCTGGAATCCATCAATGCCCACTAGGAGCTCCTCCCTGCCCTGTAATCCACAATAAATTTTGGAGAACACACCTGATCCCTCATTGCCAAGCTGGGCTAGAGAACATGAAATGGAGGCTTTGGCATTTGCATTCTTTCTTGGCATCTTTTGATGGTACCATGAACAGAGAGAGAGGAAGGCCGATGAGCGAGACTTGGGATGGTCCATGTCACTGTCACTGTGGCTTTCTCTCAGTTAATAAGTGTCGTACTGAAAATCAACCCTGACATTAACAAACTTTTTCCTGATGAAAGTGTGATTAGAACAAGCTCTTACTCTTCCATTCTCAACAAAGGGATTTTTCCGGGGTTTAAATTAAAAAACAAGACCAGCTATGCTCATGTCCATAACAGGGGTAGCACAAGAAGCTGTCAGAGTGCAACTGAAGCACATTGAAGCCAGCAGGAATGAACTTCTGGACTTCAGCAGGATTGCTGAAGCAGTTGGTGGAGGGGATGTTTTCAAGTGGGACGAAACATATGCCTGAGTAGGGCTGTTGTTCCCATGTGTTTTATTGCATGATGGGGGGAAACATGGAGGCCCAGGAACTGAGGTTGATGTCACATCTGCCTGGTGCTGGAGGAGAAGGGCCTGGCCACCTGGGCCCAGCCCTGCAGTGTCCTGCAGCAGGGACCCAATACATGTAATCAGCTGAGACATTTGTAGCTCTGTACATGGCACATACCTCCGGAAATAAATTATCCTCTTATTTCCTGGTCTCCTTCAAAGTCGACATGCAGGCTCTGGTTGACTCTCACTTATCTCTTTGAAAGGAGAGACATTGCAAGAAATAAAGCAGTTGAAGCAACAGGCTCGTGCTGGTGATACACCCTCCCTGCCAGTGACAGCCATGGTCATCAGACTGCTCTGTAAATCCTGTGTGACCCCATTCATTTACCAACTGTAGTTAAGTGCATATGTGGACTATTAGGGTAGAAGATACTCCAGTTTCATTTCTCCTTTATTACCCAGAAGATGTCCAAATTAGAATGCATTTTCAGTGGATTAGTGTAATGAAATAACGTGCTACTGGTGGAGAGATTTGCTTTCTTCTGTATCTCTGTTCCACTTGTCTAAACTTGAATAAAATTGCTAGGAAGACACCCTGAGGATGAATGAGAAAAAAATCAACTTGCACTTATATGCATTTAAATGTGGAGGAACTCTTTTAAAATACAGGAAACTAAATTTAGATTTGCTCTGCTGCACCCCGGAGCAGGTCTGATCCTGTACCTTACAAAAGGTATTTTCTTTGGAAGAAGAATGGTTTACGTTTTATAGTTTTAAGTGGCATTTAACGAACAATGCAAGTTTTGGACACCTGATCTGACTGCTTTACCTGTTGCAACAACTTTTTCGCAGAAAGCAAAGCAAAGTGACTGAAAACCAGGAACATTCCTATTGCAAAAGCTTTTTAACTGAATAAAAAATATATTTTTACCACATTTCTATCAGCATATGATTAAAAGCATCGCAGCAAGGTGTCAAATGTATTCAACTGATATGAACGGAATTACATATAATAGGAGCAAAAGGAATAATGCTTCACACAGGGTAAAGCATTTGTTGCAAGAAAAGAGCAGAAAGTACATTTTTAAGCTCCACAATAATGTTGACTTATGGGAGGGAGTGAATTTTCCTGTGGGTTATTTTGTAGAACTTTCCAACTGTTTAAAAAAGAAAAAAAAAAAGAGAAAGGGAAAAAGGACAAAACCTAGCAATCTGCTCTCCTTGCCAAGCCTTTTATGTCCTTTCAACACGAATGTTTATTTTGTTGCTACCTTGGAGCAGATATGCATGGTTACTGAGCAGGTTGTGCTTACTCAGACCTGATTTTAAGGCTTCTACTTTACAATTGCAATGTGAAGAGCTTGCTTTCCAATTTAAATACTGAAGGGCTGCCAATAGTTTCATTAATCACTTGTAAAATTTTGCTGAGATCCACAGTTACTGTTCCTGTGTTTTATACGTAACTATCTGACATGGTCTCATCAGGACTCCTGACAGACTGGAACTGACTGGAAGTAGGATTCTGTTCCCTAAGAAAATATCTTGGCATAGAATCATTAGAATTGAAAAGACCACTAAGATCATCTATTCCAGCCATCAGCCCATCCCCACCAGGCCCAATGACCACATCCTTCAGTGCTACATCCATGTGGTTCTTCCACATCTCCATGGACTCTGACCCCACCACCTCCTTGGGCAGCCTGTGCTGCCGCCTCACCACTGTTGCTGAGAAGAAATTGTTCCTAATATCCAACCTGACCACCCCCTGCCCTCTCTGCTGCTGCATCATGCCCTTTATGTGAAAAAATGTAGTGTGCTGCTTCTGACAGAAATGTAAAAAAAGTCACACTGGCCATTGTAGCAGTGACTGTATCTACACAACACCTATGCACTCTGCAGAAAGCATAACAGAAAATAACACAGTTCACCAGAATATGTAAGAAGCTGTTTTTGTGTTTGTGCACCAAAGTAAGAACAGTAAACTGGGGCTGTTTACTGCCTCCCTGGACAAAATCCCCAATTCCTCCATGAGGAAGTAAGGCGGCTGCATCCTGCGCCCAATGAAGGTCACGCTGTGTTGCAGTGCGGGATTCGGTGGAGTTGCAGAAGCACTGACCCCGATTCTCTTCTGCTGTTGTTGCAGGGGAGACGACCACAACGGTGGCACCATTCATTCCTGGCGGGGTCAGTGATGGGCAATGGCATTCGGTCCAGGTGCAGTACTACAATAAGGTAAGGGAAATCACACTGGCGATACCCCTATTATTTGTCAGTAATAGAGACACGCGTCACTGAGCTCTGCTGATGTATGCAGGTGACCCAAACTGTATTTATTTAACCAGCTCTGCATGAATGGGGCTGGTCTTGCTCACTGCCTGCGTCAAAGCTTCTTTCTGAGCTTTACCTCAAGAAGGCAAAGTCTGACCTTGTATGTCCTCCTCAGAACTGCCACCAGACATACCTCTAGGTACTTGCAGCTCTTGCAGCTTTCAGTTCTTCAAAACCTTCTAAATATCAGTGTGTCTAAAATGACTGACACACTGATGTGAAGTTTTTGAGGAACTGTGCAGTACAGGAGCCTTCAGCATAGTGATTACAAACTACTAAGATGGAATTTTTTAAGGCAAAACAGAACTGCTCCGTATAACCCTATTTTCATGTGTGAAGCAACCAGTTTAGTCAATGCAAGCTTTCTGCTTTGGAAAATTTGATTGTAAAATGTGTGACGCTTTCTAGTAACTGACAGCTATTTTACTACATTATTTTTTGTCTGCGTATGAAAGGATGTGCAGGAGGAATGCAGCAAGTATGACTCTATGCTGTCGAGGGACTCAGAGGGGCTGTCCCCATGGGGACGGGTCAACATGTGCTCTCTTAGGAGCTGTCACAAGGAGGCTCGGTTTGATGAGATGGGAACTTGTGCGAAGCAGCCACTTTGAGAAGCAGTAAAGTGCAGGCATTTAGGGGGTGCAGTGTGCAGATGGATGTCAGAGCTCTTCAACCTACAGCAAAAATGAGAGAATTTGTTTAGTTCCTGAGAAGCGCTGCTTTTAAGTCCAAAATGACAGCATTAGGAGGGATTACATAAGGAAATAGAGGAGTATTGTTGGCTGTTAAAAAGGAAACAGGATACTAATGTGGGAAGCTGAAAGGAAGACGAAGGATTAATATGATCAGCAAGTTCTTTATTTCTCTTTGGTGCATCCTGTCAGCACAGTTTGTGTAGTGGGTTAAGTAGGAAGGTTTTCTTTGGACTCTTGAGTCCAAAGGGTCTCCTAGCTTAAGGATATTCTGCTGAGGAAGTCAAGATTTCATTAATTTTGTTGTTTAAACCCAATATACCTCTAGCTGTCCACTGTCTGGAACATAGAGAAACAGAAATGAAGCTTGACATGCGACTATACTTGCATCTCTGGACTCCATGAGGGCTTTCTTACTAAACATGTTGCCATGCCCTGTGTTTTTTCTCAGTGAAGAGCCAAGCATTTGCAGGGACAACGAGGAGATGCTCCCACTCTCAGCTCCCCGGTGGCAGGGCTGTGGCAGCTGCAGCATGGCCTGTGGAGCAGCTCTGGCACGCTGTCAGGGAGATAAGAGCCCAGGCAGCCCAGGACACTCTTTAAAAGGCAAAGAGATCTGACACAGGTGTTAAAAATAACCCCCTGCCTTGTTTTCAGCCAGACTGGTTGGTGTGTGGTGCTTGTGGTGTAGGGACTGGTGTTTTCCTGGCATTAATACAGGCACCCTGTCTTTTATTCCTCAGCCCCACTTCTTCCAAGGGGAATGAGCTGGTCCCCACTGTGTGGGGGGATTTTGGGGAGGAGAGGCATAGTGGGGAGGGCCCTACTGCTGACCTCATTCTGGTGCTGAGGGATGTGGCTGGGCGGCCCTGCGGGGCTCTGTGCCCTTCACCTGGCTTCTGTTTGCTGGTAAAGCAGTTCCCTGGCTACTTTGTATTTTAACGGGGCTGGAAGAAAAATGCCTGTGAGCAAGTTGAAAAGACAGAAATAATTTAGGGACTTGGGTTGTGCCAGAGTAAATGGGATGCTGTGTCTGAACTTGATGAGGTGAAGACATGTTTGGATAACAGTACACAAAACTCATGACTTAGCCTGAATCACACACAGCTCGTAGATGGGCAGAGGCAGGACAAGAGTTGCACTGTGTCTTGCACTGGTATTGTTTTGCAGGTGCTGCATCCTTCCAAAATCCCACTGCACAGTGCCATGTCATCACCCCATCTCTGCTTCTGCCCCTCCCTGTGAACCTCCCTGAGATAGGCACTCTTAGACTCATTCTTCTTCCTCAGTTTCTTTTTTTTCTGTTAAACTTCTTTAAAGTATGCTTTTTAAAAATACTATGCTTGAAACTGTTCAGATTATTTCCCTTTTTATTTCCCTTTTTCTTCATACAGCATCTAGCAAAAAAAAAAAAAAAAAGAAAAAGAGGCTTGGTCTTCTGTGGAACTTTTAGACACTGCTGCAATTCACATAAGTAGTATCAGATTTCTTCACAGCTGAGGTTAATTTTTCATCTTAAATTTTTGAGGAGAATGGCTAACAGACTTTGACACATAACCTAAAGTGCTTCACACCAAAGCAAATTTTCTGAGATGAGTTTCCACAGGTCTGGGAGCTGTTCTTGAAATCTGAGTTGATTGTGTTGGGAGACAAGCGCAGTCTAAGTAGTTTTTGGCATCTGCAGCTCTGGATGAAGTTTTGCTGAATGTCACTGAAATTTGGAATTCAGGAGCAAGTGAGCTGTGTATATGGCACAGCTCTCGTAGGAAGCTTCTGCAGCATTGGTTTCTCACCCCAGCTGGTGCTTTGCTGTGGGGTCAGCTCAGTGGTAAATGATAAGTAAATGTGAAGTAAGCGTAGAAATGACTCAAGGATTATTTTCTATGCTCAACTCAGGAGCAGTGCACTTGCTAAAACTACAGGTATCTTCAGTTCCACCTAAAAAATGTTATTTTACAATTGATTCCTCATTGTAAGGGTCCTCTGCCCCTGAGGGACAGACATTTGAGACTCAATAAGAGGAGGCTGGTCCAGCCCCCCTTTCAGATCTGACACCAGCCTGCCTCTGCCCTTCTTCACACATACCAATTCCTCCCTCAAGTCTCTGTTGTAAATGGGTCCCTTTCTGAATTCTGAGTGCCAGTCAGAAAAAGCAGAGGTAGTCCCACTGCAGCTGGTTGTCCCACACCTCTGTCCTGTGAGCAGTGTCCTCTGTAATTCTTCTTCCAGCCCATTCACTCACCGTGGTGATGCTTCCACTGAACACCCTTGGAAATGTGGAAATGTCTAAGTGAGACCTGGGGATGTCTTACTGACTAAGTGTTGGCTCTCTAACTGAATTCCCAGGTGGCAAACACCAAGAGGAAAGAATCTGTAGCTATATGAACTATATAACTCTTCTCTTGTTGCAGTTATATATTAAAAGTCTTGTCACTTACCCAGCAGCAAGACAATGATTTACACGTAAGCAGTATTTTTTGCAGTTACAGAGGTTTGCTGACAGCTGGGGGAAAGCAGGAGGAAAGCTGTTTGCTGATTCTGTTAGCTAAAACATACTAGCTTCTGGCAGCCTGATCTTGCAGCCATTAGAGTCAACGGTATTGAATTAGAGGTGACCTGCATGACCTTCTTTTTCAAGAGGTATATGGATCTATATAAAATTCAGAAGAAAAGAGATATTTGTATTAATTTGGAAAGAAAAGTGGCAAAAGGGGAAAGATTTAAACTTGGCAAATAATGCATTGATGGAAAACAGCAGAAATGCCTGCTGCTTGTTCACAGGGCAGTGGCAAAATGAGCACTTGCTTTGCCTTGATAGTCCTGTCTGCACAATGAGAGCACAGTCTGTGCTGGTTTGGTCGTTAATGGTCCTCTGGCTGAACCTGCAATAGTGAATGACGGTCAGTGGGTTAAGTGATGCTGATGTTTGTCAGTCTGGAATATGACCAAAACCACCAGGATGTTCAGTGATAGCAATGCTCAGTATCAGTAGTATCACAGAAATTAGCTGGCTTTCACTATGTGTACAGCATCATGCTGTGGGGTGTGTTTGGTACGGGAGATTTCAGTGAGCCTGGATAATGGGTGATGTTTTTAATTAAGTGAAAACTTCAAGCCGCCCTCCCAGACTTCTGATAGAAATTCAATTTTGTTGAGAATTTAAGATACACCATCACATTTATGTTAATGTTTTACCTAACTCATTACCTCGGGGTAGAATTCATCATTTGGCAAGAGATGAAACTGTTTTACGTATGGACATGTTCTTTTAATTATAGAGAGCACGAACATGTATATTTATATACTGTGCATTTTGTGTGTTACTTATGTATGTGACATCAAAGTCACTTAGGACGTTACTGTTCTGTAGGCAGAAGCTCATTCTGCGTCTCTTTAAGGAAGTACAGGGTAATTTTACTTAAATGATGGAAAATCTGGAAAGGGCAGAGAGAAGCATGCGATCTCGTGTGCCTGAAGTGCATTGCAGCTGCTGTGGAAGATGGGCTGCACAAATCCCCAAATGAATCACAGAGTGGCTCACAGCAACAAGGATGCTTTGGAGAACCGTGGCTGTGTTAGGTGCTTAGTCCTCCAGCTCCTAGTAAGGAGATATTCAGGACAAATGTCATGCTTCTTCCACAGCTGGACCTGTTTGACAACAGGTAGTAGTAAGGTGCTTTTTTTCACTCCTTCCTTGCATTCCCTGAAGCTGCTGAAGAGACACATGATTGCTGCTTCAGAAGCCTGGCTGCCTGGGGAGCAGCACCCATCACAGGGACCGGCTTTTTTCCTCCCCACAATGGGGTTAGCTGGCCTGCAACTGAGGCAAGCTGAAACTTGAGTCTTGCCAGCGAGATTGGGCTCTGAGCTCACTTGAGGGCTAGAATTTGCCCATGCCTTTTCTTCCAGAAGAGCTTGTGCCCATCCCTTTGAATGGTGGTTCTTCACTGTTGCCAAAATCCCCTCTGCTTCTGTGCCAAGACGCACACTGTAATTGATTTTCTGCACCTCGGGTACATTTTGCAGCTCTCCCCTTGTGCATGCTTGGCCTTCATGGCTGATCCTAAATGGTTATTAAACTATGCCTGTGTAGCTGTTGTACAGCATCAGCAGAATGAGTAATTTTAGGTGTACATCCACATATCACATTTTGTGGATGAACAGCAGCAGTGTTGGTAGTGGTCTACCTCTGGGTGGAAGAACTGAACAGAA